CGGTTTATTCGTCGCAAGGAACTGATAGCTTGTCAATATTTGTTTATATCTGATTCAAGTCTGGATGGAAGAAAAAAGTTTTGCAACTTTTAGGGCTATTTAAGATGATTATGTGGTAGGAAGGTTAAGCCATTTTGTCAATGATGCAGGAAGATTTAAGAAATAGCTTTACATCTTCTACTAAGTAGTTTCCTTTTAATTATGTGGTTTTTTTTATAATGTCCGTTTCAGTCGTAAGTTTTAGGAAGTTAGTGAACCTATAAGGATTACGATCAGAATCTCTCTATAAATAGAGAAGTTCAGTAGCTTATGTTATTCACTGTTTCTGATTTCCATTAGATTAAGCTTTTGTAACTTTCAAAGGCTCCGTCTTTCTTAAATCCCTACAGCTAAAGTTTGCCTAGTTTTCAATTCTGTCAGCCTATTCCCCTCAGTTAACTCAGAGGTTGTTTAATGTGATTGTCAGTATAAGGTAATTGTAGCTTGAAAATAAATTTGAATGTTTTAGACATTTAAACTTATTGATTTTGCATGTAAATCCTTATATTAACTTGAAGCTCACATATAGAAGATTGGGTTATAGTTTCGATGTCCTAGGGCTTTTGTAAATTTCATTGATCCAATGGGTCATTCATTTGTCATTAACTTTTTTCAAATCAATAAATTTGTAGCAATAAATGGAAAATGTTGGTATCAGAACAAAAGAAAAAGAAGAACAAGTCATTTATTTCGATTCAATATGTACATGTCGAGTTCCATGGGTGATTCATATGGCTTTCAAAGAAAAGGTGGAGTGATTTTCTGTTTTCAGGTCAAAGATTGTGCATATTCTACATTTGTCGGTTTCGATAACGTCTGATTTTGTGTCTATTTAAGCTTGTTGGTTCCTGACATGTTATAGTTATCGTCGAATCTATGCTTTGTAGCTCATGCATTCGTACTTTTTTTTTCTGACATTTAGTTGCTACCTGTCATTTGTGTCCTGTAATAGCAGTCTCCTGCCAGTTAGAAGATTGTGCCATTGATAGTGTGATGGAAAAGGTTCCACGAAATGGATCCTGAGGCATGGAGTTTGCTTTCTGATAAAGTTAAGAAGGACGTGAAGAGTCATTTAGTGGCTTAGTTAATTTAGAGGATGTTGGGAAGAAGAGTAATGCTACTGGTACTGTATCTGCAACTGCTACTAAGAATTCCTCTTCCCCAACTCTACTTCCAGTGAGTCAAATGGTGATACATTCTGGACTTCATGCGAGCAATGCATGATACAATCTGAGTACGAGTTTATTCACCGGAATAAGAATCTAATGTGTCCTCATTGTTGCTTGCCCTTCCTGGCCATAGAGATGCCTCCTCCCTTCTAAAGAGCAATGTACGCGGGAATAAGAGCCCAAAGCAGAAAAGTGTGATCCTGCTAACAACACATCATCCGATTCAAAAAGCAATTTCTCCTCTACTGCAACACCAGGGACTACAGGATTTTTGCATCTCTCCCAAAGTAGGGAAAATGTTCCCCAGGATTCAACTTTCAAACATGGAATGGGTGAGTCAGAGGCAATGATGAATGGCAAAGATGGTAAGGATTTTGTTGGAGCAGAAGAAGACTTAGTGTAGGATACCGTGTGAGACACCGGCGAAAAAAAAAAAGGTAAAAGGAAAACAAAGTGGTTATGATGAATCGGCTTTTTCCCTCTTTCTAGCCAGGTTGCAGATATGTGGGTTAGATGAAGAAAATTGTGGACATTATTTAGTCTACGTGCGATTCGGTTCTGTGTAGATATTTTCGAATTCATTTTGAGCAGAACTGTGTAGGTATTGGAAGGGCCTAAGACAGCAATTTCTAGAGCAATATATGATGTTTTCGCAGCTTAACTGCCATGTGCATTAATCCGCGATCCATAAACTTTTAAGTTGATCTTTTTGTTATAGATACCCGATGATCATCTTCATCTTTTGTAGGGGTTTTATTGTTTACTATTCTTCAATTGAATGCTTCTTTGCATCTGCAAGTGTTTGTTTGTTTTACTTAAGCAAAACTCAAAAATGTTGCACATTAACTGTTTAAACCTGGGAACTGCAATCTATGCAGCTTCAAGGTCGAAAAAGTGGAGCAAGGTTCAGGTCTCCACCATCTATGCCTTATAGCATCTTCTTTCACATTTCGCATTTCTCTAAACTTCTCCAGCATTTGGTTGGATAAATCGTGTCTCACACCCCCCTTCTTTTCAGTTTTTCCCCACCGCTAGCGATTAACGGCGTCTCGCCAACTGGCATTACCTGCGCTTTCGTGTCTCTCAGTGTGGTCAGCACAGTGATTTACATGTTCTATTTCCTTCATTAGCATCACTTGTTTTTTTTTCCCACCTTGCATCATCTTTGAGTCTTTTGCATCAAATTTTGATTTGCTAACTTTGTATATGTGTTCAAAGCTACCTAAAGCCAAGTGTGATTGAAGAAAGGTTGACATCTCAGCATATCTTGGACTCAATATGGTCAGTGGCGTTCACATTCAACAATGTCTGAAATGGAAATTCAACAACTCAAACGGTCAATAAAATTCCTATTACACAATATCTAAAATGGATATCAATTTAAAACCATAATGGTCGTGGCTTGTTTGTATCTGTTTTGAAAATTGAAAATGCATGAATTCTGTACATTCAAAATGAACATAAAGAGCTTCTTAAAAATCTCTTTTTTTTTTCCTTTTATTTTATTTTTTTTTACCGTCCAAAATATCTTGCTTTCATTGAAAACCTTTTATTGGGGTTTATTCCCAAAATGGTAAAAACATAGAAGGATAATAGAAAAGAAATCTTATACAATGGTGAACAAGGCAGAAAATCTTATTACAATCAATGACTTACTCGAGTTAAAATTCTCATTCATTTCATCTGACCATTAGTCAAATTACCATACTAACTATTATTAATGACAAAAATCTTATAATAAATGGCCTACTCGAGTTAAGGTTCTTAACCAATTGCCTCACTAACTATGGTTAAAAACTAAAGAAAAAAGATATCTATCTTAAAATGATTTATTAGGTTAACTATATCTAGATTTTCCACCTTTTAGAAATAAAACTTCATGGTTTTGGCTTTAGAAGGCGTTAAAGAATACACCTACTCGCTTTACGACTCAGCAACTAAGGTTTAAAAACGTGATTGTGTTAAAGATTATCGAGTTGTAATATTAACGATTGCTGCTTGACAAAAGACTTGTTCAGAATAACGTGATTGTAATCTGACTTTAACGGAAATATCTGTTTGAATCGACGTGTGTAATCCGTCTTAAATCATAGTTGACAATGGACTCACTAACCAGGATAAACTAACCATGGTTAGATTTTTTTTAACAAAACCAAATAAGAGGCAGCCTTCATAAGAATGGACCATAGTCAGACAATTTTACTCTAAATACAAGGAGTACTTCTCTGCAAAAACAGAAAAAAAAAAAAAAAAAAATAGCTCATCACCACCATTAGCCCATATTTCAGAAATTTTAAAAACTAAACAGTTCTTCAATTAGCCGTTTAATTCAGCTGCGGATGTTACTCTGTGTTATTAACTTTTTGATTTCAGAAACTTCTCCAATTTGCAGAAAATTAATGAACTGGGTATAGCCCATTGGACACAGAATTTCCAGCAGTTTATACCAATGTACATGGTAATTTCTTATTCTTTTTTTTTTTTCATCATTGCTCTGTTTATTAGTGTTAATTACCGTGTGATTCTTTTTATGGGACGAAATTTGCTATGATAGATTACAGTAGATTACAGTCCTTAATTGCTGATCATTGAATGCTTCTATGTGTTGGGTTTTTCCTTGGAAGTTGAGATGAATGATTCAGGGGTGGCTTTTGCTTTGATTACGAGTCTGGTTCTGCATGTGAATTGAGACGGTGAATGTGTGTTTATTTCATTAATGGGCTTGATCCTTTGTGATTCTTTATCTGGAAAACAAAACAAGGTGGCTCGTCTAGTTTAGTTCTTTTCTGTGTGTGTATTCCCTTCTGATGCTGTGAATTGTTTCTGTTTTTTTTTTTTTTTTTTAAACGGTGAATTGCTTCTTTGTTGCTAAGCATCATTAAGGTTTATCAATTAGAAAGAACTGTCCGTTTACCTTATCGGCTGATATCTTGTCATCGTTTGTTATATCTGAATTTCGCCTCAATGGACGAAAAGTTTGGAAGTTTTCAAGTCTTGATTATTTGGTAGTTTATGATACTTATTTGGAAGGCTTAAACTAGTCTCCGTGGCTGTTATCGTGGCTTGATTTAGTATAAGGTGATTAGCTTGATAACTGATTTGGATGCTTTAGACATTATAAACTTTTGATTGTACCTAGAAATGCTTTGTAGAGTAACTTGAAATAACTGCCGCATGTAGGTCACAGGATTGTGGTTTTCGGATCACAAGGGTTTTGATAGATTTTATTGATCCAGCGTGTTATTCGTCAGTCATTACCTTTGTTCGAATCATTAGTCTGTTGCAATAAATGGAAGATGTTGGCATCAGAACGGAAAGAATAAGAAGAACGAGTCAATTATTTCAAATTCTGTATGTATATGTCGAAGTTTGTGGGGTGATTTCTATGGCTTTTGAGAAAAGGTGAATTGATTCTCTAGTTTCAGGTTGTAGATTCTGCATATCTTAGATTTTTTCTGTTCTGAAGTTCTATGTTTCATCTTTAGAGGCCAGTCTCCGAAGATGTAATTGAATTCTTTTGCTTACTGGTTACTGACATGCATAGTTACCTGGAATCTATGCTTTGTTGCTCTGGTGATCTTTTTGTTATTCTGACATTTAACTGTTACTTATCATTTGTATCCTGTTTTTCTGAAACTACATTTTAAAATCTCATTCCTTTTTGGATAGGTAACAAATTGCAGCTGAAACATTCTCTTTTGTCATTTGGACAACAGATGATCTGAATATTGCAATAGTTGACTTATAATTCGATTCACGAGCGTCAATCTTCTGTCATTAAAGCTTTCGAGAATGGATTGCAACAAAGACGAGGCGGTCCGGGCCAAAGAACTTGCTGAGAAGATGTTGGCTGAGAAGGACTTATCAGGAGCTAGGAGATTAGCTTCCAGGGCTCGAGATTTGTTTCCTGGACTTGAGGGACTTTCTCAATTTCAGGAGGTACTGGATGTGTTTGCTGCTGCCGAAAGTAAAGTATATGGAGAGATTGATTGGTATAAGGTACTCGGTGTTGATCCTTTCGCCGATGAGGAAACAATCAGAAAGAGATACCGGAAGTTGGCTCTTGTTCTTCACCCTGATAAGAACAAGGCTGCAGGTGCAGAAGGTGCGTTTAAGATTATTTCTGAAGCATGGAGTTTGCTGTCTGATAAGGTTAAGAAAGCCGTTTATGATCAAAAGCTTAACTCAAGGGCCACATATGGTATGTTTTATGGTGTAAACCCAGCCGCAAGTATTCAGAGGAATGGTGGGTACAACTTCACCAGTCCATCAACAGCTGCCTGGAATTCCTTTGCCCCTTCTTATCCCTGGACTGCTTTTACTCCCAGTAAATCAAATGATGGTACCAACTACACCAATTCAGCAACAGCTGCCAGGTATTTCTCTGCTTCGTCTAATCCTCAGACTGACTCTACTTTAAATAAATCAAATGGAAATACCAGGTTCACCAATTCATCTACAGCTGCCAAGAAGTCCTTTGGCCAATCTAAGCCGAGGACTAACTCTGCTCCCGGTAAATCAAGTGGTGATACTTTCTGGACTTTATGTGAGAAATGCATGATGCACTATGAATACGTGTCTATTTACCGGGATAAGAATCTTCTATGTCCTCAATGTCACTTGCCCTTTTTAGCAAAAGAGATTCCTCCTCCACCTCCAAAGCGCAGTACATCACGGAATTCGTACCGGAAGCAAAAAAGTGGTGATCCAGCTAGTAACACATCATCTGGTTTGAGGACAAATTTTACCACAACTTCTAGAGTGGGAACTACAGGAAATTCTTCTCACTCCATGAGTCAGGAAAATATTTCACAGAACTCATCTTTCAATTTTGGCAATTTGGGAAGCATGCCAAAACCATCAATGGATGCTGGTCAGACATTGCATGGGTTTCAGTCAACTGGTTTGAAAAGAGGACATGAAGAGGCATTTGGTGGCATATCTGTTGGGAACAAAAGTATTGCTACTAATACTACAGGTTTACCTATTAGTGATGCTCCCATTATTGGCAGCGGATTGAATTTGTCAAAGAAGAGACGTGCAGATGAACATATATCGACTTTGAGAGGGGAAAGCCTTTTGAGCCAAATCCCACCATCTTGTGCTGTTGGTAATGGCAATAATGATTCTGGAAATAGTGTGGGTGGGATGGAAACTGAAAAACTATTTACTCCTGGAACTCTCAAATCTAAGTGTTCAATGGAAGGTTCAGCTTTAGATATTCGTAATCTGCTGGTGGCGAAGGCTAGGATGGAAATCCGCAAGAAGCTAGAAGAGTATAATGCAACTAAGAATAGATCGCCACTGGGTAAAGTAGAGACTGAGATGAAGAAGGATATCCCATCCGTCTCCTCTCAGGAGAAATCTGTTGTAGCTGGCATGATGGTGGCCAAAAATAGAAATATTTCTGTGAAGGGTGACCATATATCCGCACACACCAGAAGGTCTTCTCCTTCTCCAGCTGCAGCTTGCTCAAGCAGGGAGACTACCAAAGTGGCGGCAGTAACTGACCCCAGTTCAGACGGGCTGAAAGAATCCTTGCATTCTGGTTCAGCTGTTGTTGCAGATACAAAAACTAGTGAAACTGTGACCATGAGTGTGCCTGATCCAGAATTTTACGATTTTGACAAGGACAGAATAGAAAAAGTATTTGCTGAAAACCAAGTTTGGGCAGTATATGACAATGAGGATGGCATGCCCCGATTTTATGCTATGATACATAATGTCCTCTCGAGGAAGCCTTTCAAAGTTCGCATTAGTTGGTTGAACTCTAAAACCAACAGTGAAATTGGACCACTTAATTGGGTTGGCTGCGGTTTTACTAAGACCTGTGGAGAATTTAGAGTCGGCAAGCATGTAGTCACAAACAAGCTTAATATCTTTTCGCACAGGGTTAAGTGGAGCAAGGGTCCTAGAGGGGTTATTCACATTTTCCCTAGAAAGGGGGATATATGGGCTTTGTACAGGAACTGGTCTTCTGATTGGAACGAGCTAACTCCTGATGATGTGATACAGCAATATGATATGGTAGAAGTAGTTCAAGACTACCATGAGGAGCGAGGTGTTGCTGTTACTCCCTTGGTCAAGGTAGCTGGATTCAGGTCTGTCTTTCATCAGCATGTGGACCCAAGTAAGGTGTATACAATTCCAAGAGAAGAGATGTTCCGTTTTTCTCATCAGGTAGTTTCGTACCTACTCACTGGTCAAGAAGCTGGATCTGCTCCAAAGGGTTGTCAGGAGCTGGATACAGCTGCCATGCCATTGGAACTTCTCCAGATCATGAAAGAACCCATGGAGGCAGGTGGAAGCTCAGTTGGAGAACTAGCCGGAGTTGGAGATGCAGATGCAAGGACCATTAGCAAAGATGCAAAAGGTGCTGTGACAGAACAAATCATCATGCATTCGAGTAAAACCAAGGTAGAGAGCACAAGTGGAGGGAAAGAAGTTATAACGCAATCTGGTGCTAACTGTTCACCATAACTTTTCCCATCTTTTTATCTAGCTGCAGTAGATGGTGGGTCAGATGAAGAAAATTTTGGACAGCATTTAGCTAGTCTATGCATGATTTAGTTTTTCCATAGATGTTTCTGCATTTTCACCGTGAACAGGATACAGTATAAGTATAGGACAAACCCGATACAGCAATTTCTAGAACAATATGAGACGTTTTAGGACAGTTCTTTTCCTTTTCTTTTTGGCAAGTTGCTCAGTGTATTAGCAACATATGAATTACTTTCTGCAAACCTTGAATCTAGAACCATGAGTTGCAAGTCTTATCTGCTATTTCCAGTCTTCATATTTATGTTTTTGTTTCAAGCTTTCAGGTTTGTTTTCTTTCCTCATACTTGTCTATCATTTTACTGTGCACTGATGTAATTGATGTCATTGTCTACTGAGAGCCTAGTATGCTGCTAATACAGATTTTATATTGGAGTTTGCATTTTCGGCGAGCTGCTTAGTACAGTATTTGAATGCATGTTCATCTTGTGGATCTGCTAAAGCAATACGCGATGAAAAAGACATCCATAAGCTGGTAGTGGATCATAGTGGGTTGCAATTTCAATACAATTTGGTTAGCTGACAATCATGTACAGAAATTCAAATTTAGAGGGAACAACTCAAATGGGGTGTTTTCTTCTTCCTGTTGCAGCCCTGCCTGATATTGCTTTCATAAAGATTATCAATTACCCTATCCAAAAATGTCTGTTTTTTTGGCTGAATTGGGTAGACATGGATAGTGGGTGTTTGGTATGAAATTTGAGCTAAAGTTAAACAGAGTGAATTCAATGATTTAAGCTGCACTGTTGTCTTTTTGTTTATGAATGTTTCTTGCTTTTTGTTCTCATGCATTTGCCGTTTCTATCAACAGATTGATCATTAAACTTGACTCAGTGCCATTATTTTGGCCTAGAAAGCCTTCTGATATATTCCACTCAGAAAGTTTTGCTTACTGGAATACAAAGTTCAATACTTCCTTGCATGGTTTTGTTCATAACTCATGAGCCACTTCTAAGGAGGAAAATTAAGGAAAAATTAGTGGTGATAAACTATAATATCATCACATATTAAGTGGTTCGAATGTGGATTTGTAATCGCGGCTTCATATTCAAATCACGTCATTAATCTCGTAATTAATGTTATAAAGGTAGAAATTGTGACTAGGAGCTCAAGGTGTAAACCTTGAAAGTGGGATCTTTTACTACTAGTTTTTTATGTACATAATACTTCCACAAATCAATCAAAATATGAAAAGATATACGTCTTGTTTTTGGTTTTGAAGTGAGTGCTAGTCTTACCCATCATTTCATGTTGGATACTACGAAGTATGAACCCTAAAGTGAAGTTGTTTGAGTATGAACAATCGATATTATTAGAATTAAATATTCTCATGAACATTTGTAAAATTACTGTCCCAACAAGTGGAGTAAATACCTCCGAACATAATAAACAAATTGTCGACATTTACATTTATTTGCTCACTCTGTATGATGTAGTACAATAATGATACAAATTGTGACAATTTTAAAGCAGTTTTTCGTAATTAACTTATACTAAGTCTAATCAATCCCTCTTTTGAAAAGCTATAAAAAGAGTAGTTGATCTTACGTTAAAACCTTTTCGGATATTAAGGATTTTATAGGTGTCCATATTAAATTCTTTTGTAACACCGCTAATTAAGTACGTGTTTCCTATATTGATTGTATATCCGTATTTACAACTTAGACAACGAGTGAATGTCGCATTAATCGGAAGGAGAAGTCGAGAAAAACTCACCTTTTTTTAAGTGTCATTCCTCATTAATTAGAGACCTAATTAAATCTAGGGAGGAGGTTGCTTATGATATAACTGAGAGACGCATGGATTAATCAGTAGTAGTTAGTAGTAACTAGCTAGAGTCATGAAGATGGAATAAACGCTATGGTGTAAGATATGATACAAACACATTGAAGTGGGGGGCACAAAAACAATTAAAGGCAGCAAAGACTTTGTTGTGCTCTCTTTCTCAATCCATGATCTCCTTCAATACAAATCCAGAAGAGAAATTCAAGCCATGCCACCAAAAATAGCTGTAAAAAGTACCTTAAAATTAAGTTGTCAACTGAACTGATAATTTCAACAAAGAAACAAAAATTAATCGCTATAAATAAATTGTTCCAAATATTTCAATTAAGTTAATTGGTTATTATTATAAGTTTATATTAAAAAAACTGTCAAGATCTATAAAATTATCAATGCACGTTAGGAGGTGATGATGATCATCAGACAAACCGATCGATCAAAAGTTAATCGCTAGCCGTATACATCATCAAGAAAAAAATTTACCTCTTTTGCATATCCATAATTAACAAAAAATCAGAAAACGAAAACAATCATTTATTTTCTTTTTGCCCCTTCTATATAGATCCTTTTTCTTTTAGGCACAAAAGATTTAATTGGATCAAATGATCTGAACACAATCTATAATAAAATTTAAGGTCGAAATTTTTGCCTGCAAGAATTGCAAGTGATCTCCATGCACGTACTAGAAGTAGAAGCATCCTCCATGGAGGAAATCCGTGTGGCTCTTTCCTTCAACTTCTCAGCTTTCTCAACTTCTTCTCTAGCCTTTTCCCACATACTCCTCGCGCGCGCGAACTCCGTCTGCGCCATCTCCATTTCTCGCCGGCTCAGCTCCCTAACCCGCTCGGCGTACGCCTTTTCCATGGCCGCGAGCCGAATCTGTTCGGCTGCCTGCCATTTCAACGCCTCCACCGAACCATCCATAGTCACCATCATCATATTATTACTGGTATCATTCTTGTTGCTTTTGCTGTTGGTGTTGATGAAATGGTCTTTGGTTTTAGGCCTATTGTTTTTTATGGTCCTAAAACTTATGGACAATTGGAGGTCTAGAGATGGTCCCTCAACAAAAGGGTTCAAATTCTTCATTGATTGGAGCTTTATGGTGGAATCTGAGGCAGCCCATGTTGTTGTTGAAGGTTTTGATGGTGATGATGATGAAGGTGGTAAATTGGTTGTGTGTGGGGATGGGAGAAGTTGGAGTTCTTGATGGTCTTCTTCCATGAAAGAAATTTTAGATGGAAAAAAAGGAAAAAAGCAAAAGAATTTAATGATGCAAATGACTAAATTGAGGCTAGTTTTTGGAGTGTGTGTGTGTGTACTGGTGGTACTGCAGAGGGTCTCTATATATATAACCACTATTGCTATAATTCCATTGTTAGGCTGGTTTCCTGAAATATATATACCCCATTCTTTAAGATTTTGGAGCCAAATGAGTTGTATGCATACTATTGTACGTATATATTTGATTCTATTTGTACCTGTATGTCTGTAAATCTAAGAAAATCATGCCAATTTCTCAACAAATCTGTCAAAAAATGATGTATGGGAACTGCGCACAATAACAAGTGATTTACCACTTCAGTACTTGGGAAATTATATATTAGTAAATGAGATCTTTTCTCGGTTAATTTTATATTGATAGTGTTTATTTGATATTTTGGTTTCTGTTTAAGAACGAGTTATTAGGGTTTATTCATTTCAGAATTTTTTAACAGTATTTAATCGTAAAATTATATGATTTTACGGATAAGACATGATAAATGAGACTCTATGATCTTGATTTTAAAATACCAACTAACTAGGCAGCTAAATTAGTTTGCTTTTTGGAGGGGAGGGGGCCTAAAATGAGATCTACTTAAAAATAAGACACATGATCGAGCATATAATCATAATACAAAGTATGTCGTCAATGGTGGTTTCCAAAAAGTTGGTTTTAACAGTTTGTCCCACAAAAAAGACTTCTAATAACACCATGTGAAGGATGCCTTTCTTTCAAACTTTGCTTTAATCACGATCATAATATATACATATTGCTCAGACGTGGGATGAATATACCCTTCATCAGCAAACAAAGCTAATTTAAGACTTTTTTGAGAATCTGATTAATTTTTATTATTGAAATTAAGCATCTCTCAATGGAGGTGTGCGTGCAATGGAAATGATTCAAGCCACCAAATAGCATGTAGCTTGGGAGTCATAGGAACGTTTGTGCAACAAAATTGTGCGCTACGAATAAAATTAAATACTCCTTCCGTCCCATAATTATTGTCCTGTTTGAGTTTTCATTTTTAGTTACAATAATTATGGGACGGAGAGAGTATCATGTCAACTTTTTTGATGATAAGATATAATTTAATGGTCAGATATCGAGTAAGGGTTTATAAGAAATTACTATATCGGTCCTTTACTAAAAGAAAAAAAATTATCTTTCCTTTTTTTCGGGCAAATGAATTGGAGTTTTGTGCGCTTTAGATGAAACGAAATGAATTGGAGAGGATTTCATTTAGAATGGTAGTTTCCATATAAAGGTATTTCAAATTGATTATTAAAGCGCAAATATAGTACCACTTTTTTTTAATGAATAAAACCTTTTTGGCCTTTATAATTAAAACGATAAAAGTAAGGGGGAAAGGAAACTGCAAATGATGTGACCCTCTTCCTCGTATTGTACTAGTTTGTATCTTACATGACAACTACCTCTATCTATCTTCTTTTTTCAGATATATATAATACTCCCTCCGGTCTTTAATATAAGGCATTTTGATTTGTCATAGATTTCACATAGTACGTATTTTTATTTGACGAACAAATCTTAAAAAGATATTTTCACATCCGTTGTGTTTTCTTGATTGTGATAAAATATTTTTAAGATTCTTTTGTCAATTAAATATATGTAATAGGTGAAATTTAGAACAAATCAAAATACCTTATATTAAGGACCGGAGGGAATATATAAGAAAACTTGACATTGTTAGTTTGTGCATATTTTCTCAAATCTTATATTCCTCTAGCTAGGAACATGATAATTCATAGATAATTATGTTACTATATCAATGCTATCTTTTTAAATTAATCAACAGCACTCTTTGGGACGACTGAGTACTAATTTTCATAGCCAACCAGCTTGGAAATCAGCATATCAGCATATTTTAGTTGTACTCTCTTAAATATGTGAGTTTTGATAAATTTCTGATCAGGATAACTTTCAAACATCAAAAAACGACAATGAAAAGATTCAAAGTTTACCGGGGAAAAAGGAAAAAAAAAAAAAAAAAAGATGCAAAGAATGTTATATTTCGCCTTTTGTGAAACTTTTACACGTGATATTGTGATTACTCCTTTTTTGAAAAAAAAAAACTTAAAAAAATGCCCTAAAAAATTGGCAATCTAGTATAAATTGTTAGATGCGATCGATTCATTTTGTTAGCATAATTAAATCTATTGAACATTCATCCAGAAAATACTAAAAATATCGTACTAATTGATAAAAACCATACTTAATTAATGAATACCAAGATTGGTGATGCATGGAAATATTACATGTTTTGTATCACCTTTTCTACGGGTATTAGATACATTTACGTTGTTGACCTTTTTACTTGTAAGGAAAAATCAAGTTGATATGTACTAGCTCCTGAATCGATCACAGTAATTGCACTAAACCCTCACTACTGATATACTTTTATCGTCCCACAAAATAATTCATTTTTACTAAGCTAAAAATAATAATAATACAAAAAAAAAAAAAATTATTCATTAAGAGGAGGGAAGTCAATAGGAACTTTTGGACTTTCCCTAATCTACAATTGGGGTCCGTTAAATTTGAATAACCAAAATATTATATCGATTCGACACTAAGGGACATTGTACAAGGCATCAAAGATTTGCTGAGTAGGAGTTGGAAATCAAAAATTAAATATGTATGAATATCACAAATCAAACTTCGTTATCAAAATACGCAACTTGTCTAAATAAGTTTTAACTATTCTACGAATAGATTCTGATTCCGAGATTAAATCACTATATTAAAAATTGTTGTCTCTCTAATTAACGGAATGTGATAGTTTATCATTTTACCTCTTCCTTCGTATTAGGAAAAAAAATCAAAGGAATATAAGAAGAAAAAAATATTAAAGGAATAATGAATTGAACTAAAAAGGTATAATTAGAAGAAGGTTGCAAGTCACATGCGAGGAGAGTGTGCCGTGTGCAATTGGGGAAATGAGGAAGGCTTTATGTAAAAAGGACTTACTTTAAAAGTAGGCCCAACAGTGTCGGCCCTGTATTACCCAAAAAGTCATCGACTTTTTTTCACAGTGCATAAGCCCACGCTCCAAACAGATTGGCACGTGGGCGGAGGGAGCACTGTAGTAAGGGAGGCCTAACTCCCAGAGGATTATGATTTGTTTTTACAGACTTTGGATCGTTCGTCAGTTGGGCCCACTTAAGCTACCCCAACAGAGATCTCCGTCATTTGCATTGGTGTCCTTACAAGTTATTTTAATCCGTCATATATTTTATGTATCGTGTATTTGTGTCATAAATTTTATTTCCAATTAAAAAAGTACGATAAACAAAGCATATGACCAATTTTTTTTTTGTAAACTGTAAATATATTAATAATTGAAAAGAGGAGAACATATTTACAACCAAAATACACATTCAAATCATCAAGAAGCTACTTACTCTACTAGAAGTAATACTATTACAAGCAAAACCATTTTTCTAATATGCTCATTTCAACAGCTGACCTACTTTTGAGACAGTGATCAAGTCTCCACTCTACTTCCTTTTTTAAGCTTGCCATAATCCTTTCAACTGATTTTACATTTCTTGTGAATGCCCTGAGGTTCCTTTCTTCCCAAAGGTGATAAACCACCACAGCCATTACAGCATACAAAACATTCTTCTTTAGTCTAGTCTTCTACAAAATAACCATGGTTTTCCTCTTCCAACTCCTCTGGCTACAAGGCAATGTCAATACCTAACCATCTTATCACAGCCTGCATTAACTCCCGAGAAAATTGACATTCAAAAAAGACACGCATAGACGTCTCATGTTGTGTCTTACAGTATAGGCAATATAGATCCCCATTTAGGATATTGAATTGAGCAAGCCTATCTTTAGTTAGTAGCCTATTTTACCATAATAACCACATTATAAATGAATGTTTTAGAACATTATACTTGGGCCAAATCAGAGGAGCTCCTGCCAGTTTATCTCCTTCACCAAATAAGCCATCTATACCCAGATTTGATGGTGTATCGACCTGAGTCTGTATGATGCCATCTGGTGCCAGTGAACTTAGAGTGTACCCTATCTTTTAATTTTAAAATTTGTTTCCAGTGCCAATTGGAATCCTGCTGAGGTTGCATCTCCCAAAACTGCTTCCCTTTCACATAAATTTCTTGAATCTATTTAATCCATAAGTTATCCGCTTTACATGCTAAATTCCAAACCTATTTCAATAAGGCAGCTTCATTCCAAATCTTTGCATCCCGTATATTTAACCCACCTTCTTTCTTATCTCTACAGACCTGGTCCCAACTAACCAAAGGCATACTCCTCCCAGACTCCTTAATACCCCATAGGAAACAACGACATATCCTGTTGATCTGCTGGGTGACACTCTTTGGTAAAATAAAAGCAGCTGACCAATAGTTACTTATGGACATAAGCACAGAGTTTACAAGTTGGAGTCTACCTGCATAGCTTAAGTGTTTCGTACTCCAGCAGTTAACTCTGGCGGTAATCTTCTGAACCAAAAGTTCACAGTCCAGCTGATTCCACTTCCTAGGAGACAAGGGGATTCTAAGATATCTAATAGGAAATACACCAGCTCTAAAACCTGTGATACTACATAGCTAAGCTCTGAGATCTTCATTCACGCCATCAAAGTACATATCTGATTTATTAGGGTTTGCTACTAACCCCTTCGTTGCTGAAAAACTGGTCATCACATCAATAATTTTCTGTACTGTATAGATTTCTGCTTTGCAGAAGATCATAAGATCATCTGCAAAACAGATATTGGTAAGCTTCATGGATCGACAGAATGGATGAAATTGGAATTTACTGTCATCAGCAGCCTCCTTCAACAGTCGAGTCAGGTACTCCGTTACTAACACGAAAAGCAGGAGTGAGGTGGGATCACCTTATCTCAAACCTCTCCTCCCTTTGAAAATCCACAATGTTCCCCATTCAGGCTGACTGTAAAAGA